CATTGAGATGGTTGTCTCTTTACCTTGTTGACAATTTCTTTTGCTGAGCAGAAGCTTTTCAGTTTGATGTCGTCCCATTCATTTATTTTAGGTTTTACTTCCTTTGCCTTTGAGGTCAAATTCATAAAATTCTCTTCAAGACCAAAGTCCTTGAGTTTAATTCCTATATTTTCTTCTATGCATTTTATTGTTTCAGGTCTTATATTCAGGTCCTTAATCCATTTTGAGTTAATTTTGGTGTGTGGTGATAGACAACAGTCTAATTTCATTCTTTTGCAGGTGGCCTTCTAATTTTCCCAGCACTATTTATTGAAGAGGCTTTCCTTTCTCCACTGCATGTTTTTGGCTTTTTTGTTGAAAATTATTTGCCCATATAAATATGGATTTACTTCTGGACTCTCGATTCTGTTCCACTGGTCCATGTGTCTGTTTTGCTGCCAATACCATCTTCTGATTTTCTTAATAGTATTTTCTTTTCTCTAGGTTACCTACTTGTAAGAATACAGTATATAAAACATACAACATACAAAATATGTGTTAATAGACTGTTTATGTTATTGGTAAGGCTTCCGATCAACAATAGGCTATAGTTAAGTTTTGGGAGAGTCAAAATTTATATGGAGATTTTCAACTGGGCAAAGAGTTAGCACCCCTAACCCCTGTATTGTTCAAGGGTCAACTATAGTTCCCTGAGAACGAACACATATGAGGTAAACTTTTGGGGTCCCGGCATATTTGAAAATATGTTCCTCCTACAACTTACTTGATAGTTTGGTTGTGTATAGAACTCTAGGTTAGAAATAATTTTCTTTCAGAAGTATAAACACCTTGCTCCACTGTCTTTTGGCTTTGGTTGTTGTTGACTAATCTAAAGCTATTTTGATTTATGACCCCATTGTTTATGACCTGTTTGTTTTTCTCTGGAAGGTTGTAGGAGCTTCTCTTATTCTCTAATACTTTGAAATTTCACAGCGATGCGCCATTGTTTGAATCTATTCTAATCCATTATTCTAAGTACTCAGTGGGTTCTTTCAGTCTAGAAACCTGGGTCCTTCAGTTCCAGGAAATTTTCATATATTGTTTCATTAGTGATTTTCTCCCATCTTTTTTTCTCTCTTATTGTTATCCTACTAAGAGGATATTGGAACCCTGGGCTAGATCCTTAATGTATTAAAATATATTTCCTCCTGTTTTTCATCTCTTTGTCTTTTTTTTCTCAATTTTCTGGTAAATTTTATCTCATTTGTCATTCAGCCTTCTATTCAATCTTTCTTTTTCTGCTCTCATATTTTGAATTTATTAGAGTTCTTTTGGTCTGAAAGTCCCTATTTTATCACATCCTGTTTTTATTTTATAGTTGCAATATCTTCCCTTATCTCTGAGGATATTAAGTACTGGTTTTTTTTTTTTTTTTTTTCCTCTGCATGGTTCCTACTTACTTCAATTGGTCATTTTTTTCATGACTGATTTTAAGAATTGGGGATTAAAACGCAAATTGCAATCTCCGAGTTTTGGGGAGGAATTCCTTTACCGAACTTCATGATAGGATGACCCTATTTAGGTATTTGTTACATAGTCCCCCACTGTCTTTGGGTCACTCTTTTCCGACTGGTCAGATACTCCAGAGAAGTTTCTTCTAACCTCCTGCCAAGAAGAGAAAGAGAACAGTGTTGTTGTCTCGTATGCTGACGTTTACTTAATTCCTCTGTTTTGGACACCGTACTTGCCTTTATCTGTTCCAGTTTCCCCAAGGCCAAAGACCCTCTGTTTAACTGTCTGGAGAGTGAGCCTCTGGCCTTCTGCTGGGGTGCAAGGGGCACGTTCTAGCCTCTCACAATGGAGGAGGGATGCAGGCTTCTAACGGCTTCTTAAACAGACTTCTGACCCATCCTTTTTGGTCACTTCTTCCTGCTTCGCCTGCAGAGCTCCTTGATGCCTCTGACTCCTGAGCTTTTGAGGGGTCTACAGTAAAAGTGGAGGCTTCCTGGCCTCCTCCACTGCCAGGGCGACTCAATTTTCTCAGTCCTCTAAGATATCATGCATCCCTTGGCTCTCTCGCCTCCTATGTGTTGTTGCCATTGTCTTTCAGTGACTCGTCCTGGTGGATTTTTACCTTTGCATAAAAGTTCCTTTACTTTCATGTTGGTGGGGTTTCAGGAAAAAGCAAGGGTGTGAGTCCAATCTCCCGTTTTCTTACATTTCTTGTTATGTGTGTACTTCTCCTCTTGTTTGTACGATACTTTAGGTTTTTCTGCCTCTTTCATTAGACTGTAAGATCCATAAAGCCAGTGACTAGGTTTGTTTATTTTTCCCATCTTAATCCCCACCCTTATTTTTTAATAGTAAAAATAAATTTTTAACTGTGATTAAATATACATAATATTTATTACTTTAACCATTGGTAAATGTACAATTCAGTGACATTCAATACATTCAAAAACTATCACCATTATCAATACCCCCAAATTTTTCATCATCTCCAATGAAAACTTCGTACTCATTAAACAATAACTCCCCCTCCTCTCCCACCTTCATAACCTCTATTCTACTTTCTCTCTCTATGAATTTGGCTACTCTGGGTACCTCATATAAGTGGAATTGTACAGTATTTGTCCTTTCGTGTCTGGCTTATTTCACTCAGCAGAATGTTTTCAAGGTCCATCCATGTGTCAGAATTTCATTCCTCTTTATGGCTGCGTAATATTCTATTAGATGAAATACCACATTTGTTTATTCATTCCCCTACCCCCATTTTATCTGTAGTGGCTTGAACAATTCCTAGTACATGACAGGCACGAAAAAGTATTTATTGGATGGCTTAAGCAACTTCTTCCCGTTTTAGGATCTAGAAAATTCCCACTTATTCATCAAGGCCTAGCACATACACCTCCTCCTTTGAGAGGCCCTGGGGACTTGCCTAACACAGAACTAAGCACTCCGTAGTGTCATGCAGCCACACCAGGTTATAACTCAGCTCCCCCATGTCATCTGGCAGCTCCCGAGGGCAGGGCCAGGGCTAGGTTTACAGCCTGACTCCAGGAGTGTTGGTTCAATAAATGGGGAACCCTCTTTCTCTCTAATTTGAAATCGTAGTTGGGACTTTGCAGCCAGTCTCCCCCAACTTCTATTCCACATCTTTGTTTTGAAAGTCAGTTTACATTACAGTGGTTGTGCAAACAGGAAAAGAAGCCATTAAAATGGAAATAGAGAAATTTGGAGAGCTTAGCAACCTGAAATGAAATCAGAAAGGAAGGCTTTATTCTCATGGGGCATGTGAGTCTCTTCTAATGCTCTGAAAGCTGAGAATAAATGGTCATTAAGGATCTTTTTTTTTTTTTTTATTGTTGTTGTTATCAACAGCCTTTTTGTTGGCTTTCTTAAAACAGTTTATCCCTCTTCACTGAAGAGGAGCCTGGGGAGTCTTGAGCCTGGTGCCAAGGCCCCTGGGACTGTTGTTGGCAGAGCCTGGTGCCCATGTTGGTGCCTCCATGGGCCACCACCATTGGTGGCCTCTTCATCTTAGTTCCAGGTTTCCTGGGACTGGAAGGGATTGGAAGGGTAATGCTTCTCTTCCTTCTCTGTGAAGCAAGGAGAGTCACACCTACTTGACAGGAGTATCGAGGACAGGCTGCCTATTCCTGGGCTTGGCACTATGCTGGGCACCTGGTACATGTTTGGGAAAGGTTGGCTACAATTATTACCCCAAAATGGGTGGCAACCAGTTAGATCACTCATCGGTCATATCACACAGCTTTCTGTAAACCTTCCCCACAGGTTATTCAGTTCAAGGCAACCAGAACAACAGCAAGCATCTGGAAACTTCCATTAGGCTAATCCCTCTGAAAGAAATGGACTTGGGTTATTAGGAGGAGGGAGATCTGAGGAATATACAGAATTGATCCAAAGAATTCAGTAATCCAAAACGAAAAAGACAAACAGCTCAGTAGGAAATGGGCAAAGGATACTAACAAGATGGCCTAGAGAACAAACCCAGAAGGCAGTGACCTCATAGCAAGGCGTGCCCCCTCACTGGTGATAAGGAAAACGCACATTCAATTGTGGTGAGGTACCAGTTCAGACTAGCGGTGTTAAAGAGTGTGGCTGGGGCTGTGGAGTGACGGAACACACATAGCCGAAGGTCCCAGGTACCCACCCCCACTGCAGGCCCTTCCCTCTCCTATGCAGGAAACCGCCATTGGCACCTGGTATAGGTAGCGTTCTTTGAACTGTCACTATATATATATTTACCTACCATTTGGAAAAAAAAAACAAAAAAACAAAAATGAAATTTTCTGTTTAATTCGCCCCCCGGTGGCATCTAGCCGGAGGTCGTAGGAATATAGTCATGCACCACAAAATGACATTTCTGTTAACAACAGACCACATATACAGCAATGGTCCCATAAGATTACAGTGGAGCTGAAAAATCTCTATCACCTAGTGACATCACGGCCATCGTAACATCATAGCGCAACACATTACTTGTTTGCGATGATGCTGGTGTAAACGGACCTACTGCACTGCCTGCCGTATAAAAGTATAGCACATATCATTACATGCAGTACGTAATACTTGATAATGATAATAAACGACTGACTATGTGACTGGTTTATGTATTTTCTATATTATGCTTTTTAATCATTATTTTAGAGTATACTCTTATTATTTATTTAAAAAAAAGTTTGGTCTACAGCCATGCCACCCTGAACGTGCCCGATCTCGTCTGATCTCAGAAGCTAAGCAGGGTCAGGCCTGGTTAGTACTTGGATGGGAGACCACCTAGGAATACCAGGTGCTGTAGGCGTTTAAAAAAAAAAAGTTTGCTGTAAAACAGTATGCATTGTTAGGCCGACAGTAGCCTCACACATCTCGTGTTTACCACGTCTCTCGCTTGCATCATTTTATTTTGTGCTTGATATCATCTTGTATTGTTTTGTACAGTAACAATACTGTACATGTTTGTAGCCCAGGTGTGATAGGCTGTACCGTACAGCCTAGGTATGTCGTAAACTATACCACCCAGGTTTCTGTAAGTGCACTCCGATGTTCACACAATGACGAAATCGCCTAATGATTCTTTTCTCAATGTATTCCTGCCATTAAGCAGCCCATGACAGTAATGCACTATCCTTAGGGGCTGCTTAATCTATCCAATGGTTCCCAAACTTCCTGTGAGGTCATTAAGTGAGCCGATTTCCATGTCCCCGGAGGAGGAACATTCATGTGGTGATGCTCCACAGTCCCAGTGCTATCCTCAGTGGCCTCTGATACCGCCCCCGAGGAGTCTTGACTATGCTCTTATCAATCTACAGACCACCCAGCAGCTCAGGATCTGCCAGTTGGGAGCAGTTTGGGGCCGTACCATTTGCAAATTAAAATATGTATATATACATTTTTTCATTGTGGTAAACAGACACAACATAACACTATTTTAGCTATTTTTAAGTGTACAGTTCTGTGGCATTAATTATGTTCACATTGTTGTGCAACCATCACCACCATCTCCAGAATTTTTTCATCGTCTCAAACTAAAACTCTGTCCCAGTTAAACAACAGCTCCCCATTCTCCCCTCCCCACAGCCTGTGGCAACCAATATTCTACTTTCTGTCTCCGTGAGTTTGCCTATTCTAGGTACCTCATGTAAATCATGTAGCCATTTGTCCTTTTATGACTGTCTTATTTCACTTGGTTTAATGTCTTCAAGGTTCACCCATGTTGTAGCATGCGTCAGAATTTTTAAGGTCGAAGAATATTCCATTGTGTGTATACACCACATTTTGTTTATCCATTTATCCATCAGTGGACACTCAGGTTACGTCCATCTTTCAGCTCTTATGAATAATGCTGCTGTGAACACAGGTGTGCAAATATCTGTTTAAGCCTGTGCTATAATTGCTTTTAAGACCGTAGGACAAACATTTGGCCTAGCCCCTTGTTTTGCTATGAAGCCTGAAAGGTTAGGGTCTGCCCGGTGTCCACAGCCAGGGACAAGACTCGTAAAGTAGCCCGAGGCACTAGGCTGGGACCCTCCACCGCCAGGCCATGAGCACTGGTTATGATTCTGACCTTTCTCCTCTCTGCAGCCATGCCCTTTGCTTTCTGTACAAGAGAGAAGCTTCCTTGGACGGAATTTGCCGAGTCAGCAGAGGATGGGCCCACCACCAGGTTCTGTCAGAAGGTAGGACATTAACTGCTCCTCTGGCAGTAGCTGCCAGACATGTGCAGGTCCCAGAGCAAGGCCACAGCTGCTGGGTGTGGCTCCTCACCATGGAAAATGCATCCGCTTGGTGCTTGTTTTGCCAGATAAGGTTAGATAAGACTCTTTGCTACCCTTTTTTTTTTTTTTTTACTGTACTTTCACTTAAAATCATGAGTTTCAGAGCCAGAAGGGCTCTTAATGGCTTTTTTCAGGGAGAGAACTGCAGCCAGGGAAGGGTGGCCTGGGGATGACCCGATAGTAGGTTCTACAGTGGCAAAAGGCAGAGCTGGCACTTGGGGACCAGGGACAAAGTTGAGTTCTTGTCCAAAACTGTGCTCCTTCACTTGCCGTTTGCCGGAGTTATGTAAACTTCTCTACATGGCCTGTCTCATCAGCATAGAAATTGGTCTTCACTTTTCTTTATTAAACCTCGTGATACATCTTGTATGATCTCATTTATACAAAATGTCCAGAATAGGAAAATACACAGAGGCGGAAAGCAGATTAGTGGTTGCCAGGGGCTGGACAATGAGAGGGAATGGAGAGTGATTGCTAATGGGTATGAGGTTTCTATCTGGGATGATAAAAATATTCTAAAATTAGATTGTGGTGATGGTTGCACAATTCTGTGAATGTGTTGAAGACCGCTGAATGACTACTATAAAATAATATTGAATGTCAACTGTAATTGAAAAATAACAATAAAAAAAATAAAAGAAATTTAATTATTTAATTAATTTTTAAAAAGTAAAAAAAAAAACAAAACACTGAACGACACACTTTGAAAGAATGAGTTTTATGCTTTGTGAATTATATCTTGATAAAACTGTTGTCAAAAAGAAAAAAAAACCCTAATGTTCAAAGAGGTTACAAATGGTAACGTATCTTTATTCTCACCTCAAACAAAAGAACTCCTGTCATTTCTCCATGTCCCGTTTCAGACTTTATACATGTACTTAGGGGTTTTGGGAGCAGAACTGTAATCATGGTGGTTCTGTCAATACTGACTTGTGATTCTAAACATCAGCGATCTCAGGCAGTAGGGGAAAAAAATGTCTCGTCCACCAGGTTGTCGATTCTGTGCTATGGAAGAAAAGAGGAAGGGGACTGGTTAGGAGGCAATTGCAGATGACATGGCCGAACTAGGGCTAGAGGAAGAGAAAAGGAAGAGTAGAAATGAGAATTGGTGCCAAGGGACACACGTCTGCATCGAGAGTGGCCAAGGGGCTTATGGCCGCCCTCACATGGCTTATAGCATCACCTTCCACCCCCGAGCCGTTCCCTCTCTCCTGTCATTAAGGCCAGAGGTAATGACAGGCTTGTTAGAGTTGAGGACAAATGACCTGCTGGGGCTGCTCATCCCCGTGATCACCAGGTTCTGATGCTCTTATTTGAGACAAAAAGAATTCAGTGTCGGAGAGCCATTTTTTAAGAAGATATAGATGAAAAGTACAATGATTATTCTTTTTTTATTTCTTTTTTTATTGTTTTAAAAAAGACACGTAAAATTTACCATCTTAACCATGTTTAAGTATACAGTTCAGTACTGTCAAGTACATTCACCGTGTTGCGACACAACCTTTTCATCTTGTCAATCTGAAGCTCTATACCCACCAAAATACTCCCTTCCACCCCCAGCTGCTGGCAACCAAAGTTTTACTTTCTGTTTCTACAAATTGGACTACTGTCGATACTTCACATAAGTGGATTCACACTGTCTTTGTTCTTTTGCGACCGGCTTATTTCACTTAGTATCATGTCCTCAAGGTTATCCATGTTAAGGATGGCATCCATGTGACAGAATTTCTTCCCTTTTTAAGATAGTATAATATTCCCTTGTATGGATATACCACATTTGTTTATCCAGTCACCCACTGATAGACACTTGGGTTACTTCCACCTGTTGGCTACTGTGAATAATGCTGCTGTGAACATTGGGTGTGCACATGTCTCTTTGAGACCCTACTTTCAATTCTTTTGGATTATACCCAGAAGTGGAGCTGTTGGATCATATGGTAATTCTATTTTTAATTTTTGAGGACCCGCCATACTGTTTCCACAGGGGCTGCACCATCTTATATTCCCACCAACAGAGCACAGAACAATGATTACTCTTATTTTGCTGAGCTTGGGGCTCAGGACATTGGCATTTAGTCTTCCAAACGACGAGTGATGGCTCTGAACCAAGGCTGGTTATTTAGAAGAACCACTAACTTCTTCAATAAAATACCTATGGCAGTTCATTTGAAAATAGGACTCTGCTATATTTATCATTTTTCCAGCTGGCAAAGAAGCATGACATGGTGGTGGTGTCCCCCATCCTGGAACGAGATGGAGAACATGGGGACGTTTTGTGGAACACAGCTGTGGTGATCTCCAATTCCGGAGCAGTCCTGGGCAAGACCAGGAAAAACCACATCCCCAGAGTGGGCGATTTCAATGAGGTGAGCTGCCCCTCAGATCACCAACCTGGCTCACTCACTTTTCTGTGCCTAATCTCCCTGAGCCTTTCTGTCAGGGAAGTTCCGTGTCGGGTCATGTCACATCATGCGACACTGGAACATAGAGTGTCTGCAGCACCCAGGGGCCTCCCCACATTACCCCACATCACACAGGCAGACAGGATTCAGGAGGGACTCCCGGGAGAGTCCCAAACACTTTTAGCACAGAGGGGTATTTTTTTTTTTAATATTACCTAATTTGACTTCCTGAAATTCTTCTTTTAAGTAAGTAATATATAAATTAAACCAAAAAATTGTGTACAAGCATGAAATAATTCCTACAGTCCCTTTCAGGCTCTGAGCTCCTCACCCGTCACAGCCTAGTCCTCGTTTGGAGAGTGGGGGTCCTTGTCCATGGCTCATGTGGGAACTGAGTCAGCCATGTCCACATGTTGGGTGACAGTTGGTGAATGTGTGCATCTGTGCACATATGTATCAGGTGGGGCTTCATCCCCGAGATCAGAGTATAAGTCAGGGGAGCTGTTTTGTTTGGTTAATGCCAGTTTGTGGGTGGGTAGGATGGGGAGAGTGGAAATTTGAAGGAGGAAAATGAACTCTACCTAATACCTGAGATGAAATCTGAACTTGATCTGTAATAAACAGTTATTCAGGATGTGATGTTTCCAGTCTTTCTTTGTTATCCCTGATGTGTGGGAGTCCCAGCCGCTCTCAGGCTGGTCAGGTGGATGAGAAAGGATCTGCAAAGCTAGCCGAGGCTCCCTGGAGAGAAAGGAGAACCCAGCGTTTCTCAGTAACAGCTGGACTTGGGGGCAGGAGGACGTGTCCCTTGGCTGTTTACCCTGAGATTAATCTTTAGCTCCCTGCAGACAGTGAAGGGCTTGTCTCGACGCCCCAGGATCTGCTCTGGTGTCTAGCACATGTGCACTTCCTGGTTGCTGCCCGACCCTGGAAAATTTTGAAATTAATGGGAGGATGAGAAATGCTCCAGGAGCAGATCTGTTTGGGACCCCAACCTGCCCTCCACCCTAACCCCAGCGCCATCCATGAAAATGTCCCAGAGCCAGCACCCGAGGGGGCAGGTGAAGAGGGAGGGATGGCAGGACTGTATCCCACCTGTCTGCCCAGCAGGGACTTCCTTAGCTGCCCAGGGACTTTGTGGAGAAGAGCACTGTCAGGGTGTGTGTTCTAGTCTCAGATGGGAGTGAGTGACCTGGGCAAGTCACATGTCCACTCGGGCTCTGGTGTCCTTCCCCTAGCAGGCAAGGGTTGCTCTGGATGAGCTTCTGGTCTCTTTGGCTCTGACCTTCTTTATAGGAACATGTGATTGGTGAGGACATTGACCAACTTATGTTAACACTGACCAAACCTCAGCCTTTAGCTGTACCATGACTGAAACCCAATCAAAGTTTCTCCTTGGAAATACTGTGGGAAGTTGCTTTGGGGTTTTTTTTGGTATGTCACAGAAGAAATTGTGGGTAAATGCTTAAGCCATGGTGATTTCCCCTTGGGTTGGCTTGTAGTTACTGTGTCTGGGGGTTTTTGTGTGTGTGTTTTTGTTTTTGAAGCATATTGAAATTTTGAAACTTAAAGTAGAGTCACACCCACGAGTGTCACTTTTGGAATACTGGTGATATTTCATTTTTTTCTGCCAAGTCTAAGGAAAGGGAAATCTTACAGCTCAGAGGCTTCAATATATGGCCCTTTGTTTTCCAGTCAACTTACTACATGGAGGGAAACCTCGGCCACCCCGTGTTCCAGACGCAATTTGGGAGGATCGCGGTGAACATTTGCTACGGGCGGCACCACCCCCTCAACTGGCTCATGTACAGCATCAACGGGGCCGAGATCATCTTCAACCCCTCGGCCACCATCGGAGCACTCAGGTCCCTCAGCAGGCGGGATTTGGGAGGGTTCTTGGAGGTGGGTTAGGTAACAGGCAGGCGTGACCACCAACACAGCTAACAAATCCGAGCCCTGGGATTGCATGTTGCATATTTAACCAACTTTTCCATGAAAAAAAAAAAATCAATTACAATCCCTCCTAAAGAGCTTCTCTGCTGTGAAACACTATCCTTTGCTATGACTCTAAACCCTGAGATGATAATGATCCCCACCATTTGCCCCCAGAGTTGTCAGGATTCAAAAAAGCTCCTCTTTTAAAGTGACCGGAGTAGTGAGTGTCTGGCCAGCATTAGCTCTCCTCCCCGTCACAGCTGCTGTGCTCCTGGGGGAGCCGAGGTGGCGCTGTGGATTCCTAAACCTCCTGTCTGCAGCATCCAGTGCATGGAGGGTGGGCTTCTGGGTAAGAGGAACAAATAAGGGAGTCGGAGCTGAGAGGGTCCTTAACAGACCAGCCAAGTGGCTCTGAAACTTGTTTTTAACCAGCAAAGTGTTTTCTTCTTAAAACACCTAACACGTATTCAGATGTCACCCTAATCCTGAAACAGATTAGACTGTTCTGACCAAGGCAGTGGGGCCGGCCCTGCCAACTCCGGAGGTCCTGGGCAGGACCCCTGGGGCTCCGCATTTAATAGTAACAGCCGAGCTAAGATGACTCCGCATGACCACTACACTTCTACTGCTTCTCTCTTCCCCAACGGCTGAGCATTTGGGTGGTTTCTAGTTTCGCATCGTTGACAAGTACCAAAGCTCTAGGAATTTTGTGTGTAAATATCTTCCTCCCCAGCTCACTTCCTTCCAAGCGCTCGGGTACCTGGATCAGTAGGTGCTGGCTTGCACTCTCTGTTGTCCTACTTGCCAGTACCCCAGCGGTGTGGGGGTTGGGAGGGTGTCCCTGGTTCCTTTGTGGGGGGCAGCTGGAAGAGTTCTGGTAGTCAGCTTGGAGTTCCCTGGCGGCCCACAACTGTCACTCTTGTCCTTGTTTTCGACGAAATTTAAGTCAAATTTCTTCTAAATGTCAGAATGTGATATTTCCTTTACCTATTCTTTTAAACAAGGTGCCCCCTTCTCTAGAGTGACATCCCCTCAAGCATTCTGATTTGCACAGCAGGTTTCTTCTTGAGGCAGAACCCAAACCCTGCCTGCTACCTCAGGGTCACGGCCCTGTCTGCGCATGTGAAGGTCACGTCTGCGTCCAGGAGGGGTGCTGTTCAGTGGAAGGGGGAATCACAGTTGTAGCTTTCCCCTCAGAGGATCTCCCTGCGGCCTCATGGCAACTTGCTCACTATGACAGTTGTGATATAAGGTGGTTACTGGTCCTCTAGTCACCTGGCCTTGGCAGAACCTCTAGGCCACCCCGTAGGGCAGCCCCCTCCTGTTAGCCATGTGTAAGGCATTCGGCAAGCTCCATCTCCCCGCAGGGCCCTGAAAGAACCTGAAGCCAACACGCTGGGCATCTGGGCTGGCTCTTGGGCCAGGGCAGGCAAAGCTGTGGTCTCAGACTCCAATGGCCACCTCCCTGACCCCGCTCCCTTTTATTAGCCTTAATTTGCAAGCAGAAGCACCCGGCGTAATAAGTACATAACTGCTTATGTCCTCAGCTGCCTATTCGGCTTATAAAAATTATTGATTTTCCTTCCTCAGGCCTTTTAAGGGTTTAGTGAGGCTGGCAGTTAAAATGCTAACAGGTCTTTTGGAAAGCAGTATGTTTCATGAGCTATTAAAATGTTCACACCCTTTGATGTGAGATAATTATACCCCTTTGAACTTTACCCAAAAGAGGAAAAAACGTCGTACACTTGAAGAAGTTTCTGGAAGCTCTGCTTATAATAAGAAAAAGCTAGAAGGGAGAAAAATGTCGGGGTTAGGTAAGTTTCAGTCCACTTCTTCCATGGGTTATTATACAGCCACTAAAAAGAGTCCTTATGAAATGATGCCGCGTCGTGACAAAAGCCCATGAGTAAAAATGATATTTCCAGGCTGTGGTCAGAACTCTGTAAACATTTTTTGGTGCCAAGATGGTCATGGAGTGCGGAAACATTACAAAAGATCATTTATTAGGATGGTGCAATTCCGGATGATTTTCTTAAAATGATAAATGATTATTTGCGGAATCGATTATGAGTGCTTTTAAGCACGATGCTGGGCAAATCCCCACCAGCTTTACACAAGCATCGGCTGCCAGCTTCCAGAATCATCTATCCCGATGTCTGGCATCTCCCGCTGCCCTGCTCGCTGGTTCCGCAG